TTTTTGTCTTTTACAATCTGATTATAATACAGATCTATATCTCGTTTTGTTTTTTATATTTTTGATGGCCTACACCACGTGAAGATCTGACAAGTTGTACTCGAATGTTGTATCAGTTGTCATATGAGTGGCTTTTGACCATATGACGTCAGATATTGATTAATCAATCAGCGTTGGCGTTTCTAGTGGTTTACCCACAGTTCCATGCATGGTTCGCCAAGAAGTCGCCTTAGCAGACTGTTTCATTAGCTTATCCCTCACTTCAAGCAAAACGCCGGTAATATAACAACTCTTCCTGATCCTAGTGTAGTAAAAACAAGTAAAACAAAATTTTGAATTATAAAAAACAAAACGAAAATAGGATCTGTGTATTAATCAGATTGTGTCTTTTAAAGATTTAAAACAAAAAAATTGCTTTGGTGCTAACTAGTGTGGCTGTGCCAAATATAGAGAACTTTACTACATAGAGCCAAAAAATTTCATTGATATGAGAGAGAGAGAGGGGGACACCTTTCTTATTAAATATCTTAACTGAAAGGAGTAGGCCTATGGTTGCAATATCATTGTCATATTATTTCCTTAGATGGTAATAGGCATACATGCAGCTGAATGATCAACGGTGAATTTAGCCAGACATTATTAGTTTCATGAAGCAAACACGATAATTTATTACATTAATACTAGAAATTTGTTACCTTCTGTATCTATAGAAAATCTGAGGACTGGCCTACTAGGAGAAAAGTATTCCAATAGGTCTGCTGAACTTATGAAAGGGACATTTAAGTTTTAACTGTCAATTTTGGTGCTATTAATTTCTAATGGATTTATTTAAGCTTGGAATCTAAGATAAATACATTTTTATGAAAGGAAAGTAGCATATTTGACAGCAACTTACACGTTCCGTAATCAAAACCATTTCAGCATAAGTTGGGAATGATGTCTTCAGTAGCACAGTTGGTGCAGAAAAGTAGGAGGTTAAACTCCATTTCATTCATTCAATCATTTTGGAATATGTTGGTATAGAACTCATTCATCAGAAAAGGGAAAACCCCAAAATTTAATATGTCTATATAAGCTTACTCCTACATGTACATTTAGGCGATAGATGGGAGGTCTGATTCAAATTTTGCATGAAATCTAACACACCTGATGCAAATGAACAGTAAAATAAAATCTCATTCTTTTTGAAATAAACAGACTTCTTGATGGGCAGATTTCTGTAATGTTATTCAGGTAGATGCCATTTATTGTGATAATCTTTATGAAGGGGCTTGTAATTAATTTGATAAAGCAAACCAGAAGCAACATTTTAGTTTCATTTTGAAGATAAAATAGTTCATGTGAATTCTGCTAAATTTATTTAACCATTATTCATTAAAAACATTCAGTCTTAGATGTACTTACATATATACTTCAAATTATCACACAATTTTAAAACCATTTAACCAGATGGCTCAATTTTTATCAGCATATCTTAATGGAAAGAAAATAGGATCTGGTATAAATGTTGGATTAATAACTAAATGGTACTAGAAACTAGGATTGGTCTTCTTACAACCATTAAAATATTTATTTAAACTTTCTTGCTGTTTAGGTATCGGAGATTTTTTCTTACAATGACAGAATGTACTAAAAATATTTAAATTGCAGACTCGTTGGTTAGTCATGCTAGTTAATATTGATGTAGAAATAGTGGCCACTATTTTCATAAATTTTGTCTTTTAATTGAACTATGTTGATGGTTATGACAATGTGTAAGCCTGCTGTATTATATTGGTCATGGCGACAGAAAACTGTTGAGGTTCCATAACTGGGAAAAGAAGCAACCCTGGCATCCTTGAGATATCTCCATATGAAAAGCTTGTAATTAATAAATAAAGTCTGCAAAGCTATAACCTGGCATTTTAATGTCCTAAATGGATATTGAATCATTGAAAAGTTCAATCCCTTTTCAATAATTGTCACCTGCCTTTTCGAAGAAACCAGGGGACTATTAAAATGGGTTCGTCTGCCTGTCAGTCGATCTGTCTGTCCGTCCTTCTCTCTATGTCCACCTGTCTGTCCGTCACACTTTTTGGGACACAATAACTCTCCTAATTGAGCTAGAATGTTCAAACTTGGTGTAGGTGTTTATTAGGTCAATGCCTTAATGGAGTTCGAAGATGAGCATTTTCTGATTAGAGTAATCAGAGATAAGCAATTTGATTAGTTGATGCTTTTTGACACGATAACTTTAGTTCTAATTAAGTGAGAGTGATGAAACTTGATGTATAGTTTCATTACAGCAATACCGTGACTAAGTTAGATAATAAGCATTTTCTGCTCAGGGTAAGCAGAGCGATAAGCAATTTGATTGGTCGAGACTTTGGAACGCAATAACTCTCATTCTAATTGAACTAGAACGTTCAAACTTGGTGTAGGTGTTTATTAGGTCAATACCTTGATAGAGTCTGAAGATGAGCATTTTCTGTTGAGGTTAAGCAGAGATAAGCAATTGGATTGGTTGATGCTTTGGGACACGATGACTTTAGTTCTAAATAAGTGAGAGTGATGAAATTTGGTGTATAGTTCGATAATGAGCATTTTCTGCTCAGGGTAAGCAGAGCGATAAGCAATTTGATTGACCGAGACTTTGGAACACAATAACTCTCATTCTAATTGAGCTAGAATCTTCACACTTGGTGTAGATGTTGATTAGGTAAATGACTTGATGTATTTCGAAGATGAGAACTTTCTGCTTAGTGTAAGCAGAGATAAGCAATTTGATTGGTTGATGCTTTGGGACACGATAACTTTAGTTGTAATTAAGTATCTTGACTAAGTTCGATAATGAACATTTTCTGCTCAGGGTAAGCAGAGCGATAAGCAATTTGATTGGTTGAAACTTTGGAACACAATAACTCTCCTTTCAATTGAGGTAGAATGTTCAAACTTGGTGTCGGTGTTCATTAGGTGAATGCCTTGATGGAGTTCGGTGATAAACATTGTCTGCTTAGTGCTTACGGTAAGTAGAGATAAGCAATCTGATTGGTTGATGCTTTGGGGCACGATAACTTTGGTTAAATAAGTGACAGTGATGAAACTCCGAGTATAGATTCATTATATCATTACCTTGACTAAGTTCGATGGTGAGAATTTTCTAATTAGGCTAAGGAGCGATAAGCAATTTGATTGGTCAAGACTTTGGAACATAACAACTTTGCTTATAATTGAGGTAGAATGTTTAAACTTGATGTAGATGTTCATTAGGTGAATGTCTTGACTGAATTCAATGATTAACATTACGAGCTAGAGCTAATCAATTTCATTGGTTGATGCCTTGGGACAAGAGAACTTTGATTCTATCTGATATAGAGTGATGAAACTTAGTGTATAGTCGAAGGATAATCAGTTTGATTGCTTGATACTTTTGAAAAAAAAAAAAAAAATATGCGATTAATTAATGTGTCATCTATTGATTTTGGCTTGGGACATCAGCCTCACTGTTGGCTTGTTTAACACAATGGCAGCCGAATGATATCCTTTTGATTATCCTATGAATTTAAGGATAGTTAATCTAGGCCGAAATATCCACTGGATGAAACATCCTAGGCTGAAATGTCCAGTGGATGAAACGTCTGTTTATCCTTATTTATACTTAATAGAAATTGCCATGTAACCAATATTCAGTATTAGATTCAATTTGTTAAATGATACCAACCTATTTTATTTAAATCACTTTTCTAGATGTTTTAAATACAGTGATTATTGGATCAGTGTGTTGGTAAATTTATTACATTAACTAGGGTTGACAAGACATTATTGAAATCTACTACTCCACCATGATATCTTCTAGCGCCTGGGGGGCTTCTTATTTAAAACCTAGTGATTAGTTTTCACATTCGGCAAGAAATTTGTTGTTGTAAAACATAATGGCGAGATTTGTAGTCGATTAAGGGTTAATTGTTTTGAGATTGGTGAGTAAAGACTTGTATCGATTTGTCTGATGCTAGGTAGTTATCACTATCAAGTTGTAGGCTATTGTAGCTTCCAGGGATAGCTGACACCGTAATTGAATCATCACTCAAAGTATTATGAGAGGATCTCAAATGCCAAATATTCAACTTGATATTGATCCCAATTAGATGCAATAAAGATTTCTCATAGCCTTCCTTTATTCTTCAATTTTTACAATGTTAATGTATTTTGGGTTGATTTATTTGATTTTGACAAACTGAGAAATTAGAAAATTTATTCGGTTCAGAATTAGTTCACATCTTTTGTGTTTTGTTTTTGAAGGCTTCCCATAAACTGTCAACGAGTCAATAGGTTCATATGTCTGGTCTTTCTCTCCAGTTCATTTGCATCTCAGCAGGCATTTCATATTTTAATTGTAACAATAGACCTTTTAGTTGTTAGTATGCATGAACTGAGTATTAGCTGAAGACCTACTACCAGTTTGAAGTGTCAAGTCTCACTGAGTTAACTGATTGTGTTAGAGAGAAAGCAGTCGATTGGATCATAATTAATGTGGAAATCTGTCTGTGACATCTATATAATCAGTTTTAGAGTTTATGTATTCAGGATACTTTGAGTGATTGTTTTCGTGGTGTTAGATATTAATGAGAGCGTCAAATTCTTGTTCTGTGAATATATTTATTATACAATAGGTACATTGACATACATATCCCTCAAGATTTTGTAGCTGTCAACGTTGTCTACAGAATACATTCATCTTTTTACCAGTATTATTACTATTATAATACATAAACTGTTAGACTTGAATGATAAATCAAGGCATTGAATTGGAAATAGGGAAGCAAACAATCTTAAGTAAAATTCACAATGTGTTTTTCTTAAGTGAATTTTTTGATAATGAAAATTCTGATTTATATAGATTTGAGCATGACTTTATTGATGACCAGAAAGGATGATCAACCAAGAACAAAGCTATAAAATAGAAAAGTTTCTTTTAGAAAAGTTTAAGATAATTAGGCAATGTTTTTTAATTCAAATTTCAGGAATGAATGATGGAGGACCCTGGAACCCCAATAGTCAACCCACTCCTGCAGGTTATGAATCTAGGGTAAGAACAATTTACTAGACTTTAAAAAAAACCCAAAAAAAACCTGAAATAACTTGTTCTGTAAGTTTTATTTTAATTTTAGTTTGATTGACATACAGTATCTGTTTCATTAACTGGCTGTTGGAAATTTTTATTCATTAAGATTTCCCAACACAATTGGTTTCTCTATACCATTCCATCAATTTTTATACGCCCACATTGAAATGTGGTCGGATATTGTTGTCGCCCCCGTCTGTCGCTCTAGAGGCTAAAGTTAATATTTAAGTGACTTTAAATTTATACACAGTGTTTAAGGTCATGAGATGGAGAAGTCTATTGATTTTCAGCGATTTCTGATAATAAATTACTGCCAGAGTTATGGCCCTTAATCACTTCAAAAAATCTTGTGGATGCTCTAGAGGTCAAAGTTAATATCCGATTGACTTTAAATTTATACACAGTGTTTAAGGTCATGAGACGAAAAAGCCTATTTATTTTCGATAATTACTGCAAGAGTTATGGCCCTTGATCACGTTAAAAGAACTTGTGAGGCTCTATCATCCGATTGACTTCAGATTGATACACAGAGTTTAAGGTCTTGAGACGAACAAATATATTGATTTTCAATGAATTTTGATAACTTGAACAGCTAAATCCATGATATTAAATGTTTCATATACATGTACTAAACGTTAGCATGGGCCAGAACTTTACAAAAACCAAACAAATTCTAATGATTTTCTGATAATTACTTAATGAGTTTTTACTCTTAATCAGCCCAGATGATTTAGCTGCTGTGGGCGTATGTTTCGTTGCCTGTCAACCTATCTTTTTTATTTGTGAAGATGTTTAGCAAGATTGCTATTTTTCCTATTCTCTTTGATTAGTATCTGGATTTAGCTCCAATTGAGAGTCCATGAAAAGAATAAAAAATATTATATTAGAATATAAATATTGTTACTGATTTTTGGGTATGCATTATGTCAGTTGGGGCCTGTTAACTACAGATGTATCATAAGTAGACTGTATTCGCTATGATATAACCCCGATGAGAACACTCCATGAAACCTATATAGTGAACTATGATATAGTAGAGACCTCTATATGTTTAATTTGAAAAATCCTTTGTCTTTATAGCTTTATGAAAATGCACCATATAATGGACAGAGTCGGGGAGATGAAATGCATCCTTTTAATATGAATAATAATGATAATATGCCACCTTTAATGAGTAAGTATATATACATGTAAATAGAAAAGTAGATTAGAATGCTTTTACCCTAGTATGGTATATGAATTGGCAAATTTTGTAAACTTTATTTGTACATATTATATATCTCATATCTACGCTACTTTTCAGAAATAAAATAATCTTGATCAGAATGAATCATCGAAAAAAAAAAAAGATATTAAATGTCATAAAATGAAAAGGAAATGAATATTTATTTTTACTTTTACAGATAAAAATACTGAAATGACTTATGGAAAACCACCGGTAAGATGTATGAATGTGAAGAAAAGTAATGTAAAAGCAAATAATTACTGCCATTGGTTTCTGCATTTGATACAAATATAACTTTTATGTCAGAAGCTTGATCTTATTTATTCCACTAACATTAAGAAAAACTAGAATGACCCTTATTACTAAAACAACTAGCATTTACAGATACTCTGTGAATTTTGTTAATTTGCTAAGTAGCATTTCAAATTTATAGTGCTTGAATAGATTTTGAAAACGGTATAGGCCTATTCATATGTCATTTGTTTTGCTTGAGGCCATTTTGATATTAAATTGTATTGTAACTAAAGGATGAATTTCACCAAATCTGCTATATGCTGTCATTTTTGACTTATTTAAGATGGGCTCAGGTGTCACAGTTAACGGTGAATTTACAAATCTGTCCTCAGGCTATAAGACATAATGAAACAAAGATATAGCATTCTGATCATAGAGCCATTTCTTGCTTCACGGTTTCCGCTTGAAGACGCAGGTGTAGAACAGACACAGAAGTATCTTCTAATTGTCACTTTGGCTAATCAGCGAGTTTCAAAACTTAGTTAAAAACTTGATGAAGTGAAATTTTCTTGAAGTGATTCCTTTGAGAGTAATTACTGTCAAAGGTGTATTTTGGCATACGTCTTGGACAGAATGACAAAGCAGACGACAGGAAGATGCTGTTACTCTTGTTTCCTATTCTAACCCCGTTGGGGCTTATTTGACGAATTCAAACAAATTAGTTAGTCTACGGTAGTCTACATTTTGACATTGTGATTTACTTGTGTTTGTTTAGAAAGATATATTGTTAAAATCGGTTCAGGTGTAAATGGTTTGGAATGATGAATGTAATATCCCTCCAACTTTTTTGGATAATGGCTTTCCAATGTTTCTATTAATTTACTTTTTACCTCATTATTTAAACGTGGTGTATGGTACTGATATTAGACAAGGGAATGATTAAATCTCTTGATAAAATGAATTACTTGTTAGGCTGTCAGTAGTTGGTTGAAGTGGAAAACATGTATGTCTACTAGAGTTGTTTCCCTTTAAACATTAAAGCCCATAAGCTCCTGCATTTTTATTCATGCCTGATTTTGTTTTGAGCTATTATTATGAGATTAAAGTTAAATAGTTTTCAAATTCAGGGTTTTAATTTATCTATTACCAAAGATTAATTACATGTAAAAAGATTTATTCTACAACTAGAAATTTAATCTTAATATTAATAATATCGGTAGAATTGTAGTGATTTAATCTTGGTATAAATGATTGTTGATTTGACCACTTTTCTCATCATGAGATTTATCATGGAGACAAGAAGTGTTATCCTGATGCTTCTCTTCATAATGAAAATTTATAATAACTGAAAATATTCGTTAAATTTTGTATGGTATTTTTTGTTCTTGAGATTCATTGTGGCACAATAGCTCTACTTCTAATTAAAGTGGATGTTCAGACTTCGGGTAGTTGTTCATTTGGCAAATGCCTCGATTGAGTTAGATGATTAGGTTAAGCAAAGATAAGCTATTTGAGACTTTTTCGACATAATTACTCTCCTTCAGTTCTGTTAACACTTTCTAAGATGACGTCACATTTTGACAAACGAGTCAAGATTTACCCTTATAATTTAGTATGTCATACACTTGCTGACGAAGGCTCTATTTTAATAAAACTTCATTAGTGTCCTTATGAGTGATGGCATTGGCATAGTTTATTTTATGAAACAATTTCAATTATGCCTATCACAGGAACTCGCATAAATTAGAAAAATTTTGATAGCATTAGAAAATATATGTATGACAGTACATCAAAGACATAATTAGTGCCAGATTAATTCACAAAGTTGAAAATCATTGTAAGGACTGTTTGTCTATCATATTGTATAATAGGCCTAACTCTATGATAAAAAACCAAGGTTATAAGCCATCAATTTTAGACTACCAAATTTGAAATGTAAAATAAAATAAAATTCTGCTATAAATAGTAATATGAACTTCTTTAAAAAAGTAGTAGGATATTTAAATATTTTATGACACTATAGAGAAATATCCTCTCAAAAATTAAGGATAAATCTGTTAATTAAAATTCTTGGAAATATCCATTTGTTGCAGAGTTGATTCCTTAGTCAAAATCATAATACTAGTATCCAAATTTTAAATCGTCTGGACAATTATTATCCTGTGCCAAACCAAGTTAGGGAGTGATATTAAAATGGACTTCTTCTGTCCCGATTTTGTTTCCGATCGGAGCTCAATATTTCAGGCTATCTTCGAAACTTTGTACACATGTCAATTTATTGCATTCAAAAACTGGTTATTCTTTGTGAATAACACAAAGATTGTCAATCCATGTGTCTTCAAAAACATGTTCAGAGGTGCAGGATTTTGATGACTGTGTCTTCTTCCATTGTTTACTGTTATATTAGCTTGCTATAAATCATAATATTAATGTGTAGTTATATACCACAGAATAGAAGAGATGTGGCAATATAATTGTGTTATTGGGAAACACGGTTTTTATTATAAAAAGACAATTCAAAATGAAATAAAAAAAATTCTGCAGACATCCAATTCATCACTTGCCTTCTAATGTGAATCCAACTCACAATACAACACTTCCAGCTTTGTGTTATTCAGATATTGTATATTAATAAGTTAATAAAAAAAACAGATACCATTGGCATTTCTATTATTTCACAAGATTAATATTTTGGGGCCTCAAGAATGTACTTTCATTGGTTTTTATATACCCACATTTTCATGTCGATGTATATTGGCATCACCCCTGCCTGGATGTCCGTCCGTCCGTCTACATGTCACAATTTTTATGCGATTTTGACATAACTTGAAATATAGGTTTATATCCCAAAGATCTTGGTTCCGTTCAATATTGTCATGTATTATCGCTTTTAGATTGTGGACCCTCTAGAGGTCACAATTTTTATTCGATTTTAAAAACCATTCCGATGTTTTTAGCTTGTGGACCCTCAAGAGGTTACAATTTTTATCCGATTTTAAAAAGCATTCAAATGTATTACTGTTACACCTTAATGACAGTTGAGTTCGAATTTCGTGAAAATCGGACTGAAACTGCCCGACAAAATGGCTGCTCCTTGTGCGCAAATAGTGTAAAAGTATGTAGTACCAAGGTTGTGGATAATCTAATGAAACTTAAAATGTATGTTTATATCCTAAAGATTTCGGTTCCTTTCGATGTAATTTCACTGATTATATCCCCTGATTGTACGAAAAATCACGTTTTTGGATTGTGGTCCCTGTAGAGGTCACAATTTTTATCTGATTTTAAGAAGCGTTTAAATGTATGACTGTTACACCCTAATGATGGTTGAAATTGTATATTGTGAAAATAGGATGGAAACTGCCAAACAAAATGACCGCTCCTAGTATGCAAATAGAGTAAAAGGACCGAATGTAATATCAAGGTTGTGGATCCTCTAGAGATCACAGTTTTTATCCTATTTTGATGAAACTTAAAAATATGTGATTATATCCTAAAGATCTCTGTTCCTTTCAATATTTGCGCATATGGGACCGTAACTTCCTGGATTATGGCCCATGATTGTATGAAAAATCACGTTTTTAGCGTGTGGACGCTCTAGAGGTCACATCACAGTTTTGTAAATAGTGTAAAAGTATGTAATATCGGACTGAAACTTAATCGATTATGACCTTTGATTGTACAAAAAATCACGTTTTTAACTTGTGGACCCTCTGGAGGGTCACAATTTTTATCTGATGTAAAAATAAAACCGTTTAAATATATCAACGTTACGGTACACCATAATGACGGTTGATTTTGAATTTCGTGAAAATCGGATCGAAACTGTCTACTCGCTGGCTACCCATGTTTTATATTTGGTTTGTTCTCTGTCCATCTCTTGCAAAATGTGCGTGTACCTTGCACGGCAACCACTTATTTATTTAACCAGACTCTCAAATTGGCTGACGAATTTATTTTCTTTTCATTGTTATATGCAAACCTATTTGAATGCAACGTATCAAACTGTTTTTCAGTCATTATTTTCTTTATTTCACTGATGAACTGAACAAAGCTCGACTTCCCATGCCAATGTCAAAAATCACTCTAATAAAAATGCTCTCCCATTTTGGACTTTGTGATGGATTTCGTAAATAATAAAAAAAAAGTTATATGATACTAATTTCTTTCATTCACAAGCCACAGGTATTTGAGAGTTCAAGATTAAAATCGAGACTTCATAGGGACTTTTGATTATTTGTGAACGATTTAGAATAATTATTGAAATTATATGGTATGATTTTAAACTGCTGTAAGGTGTTAAAAAAACAAAACAACCCAAACTCCTCAATCAAGATTCAGGGGCTCATTTTCTGAACTGAAATGAAAAAATCTGACCTGAAAAATAGAATTTAAATAAAAAATGATTATCCTCTTGCGATGTAAGTTCCAGGATATGTCCCAATCAAACGATTGAGAATTAATGGTTTTAGTGAACAGAATGACAAATGACTTTTGGCCCTTTTGCTGACTTCTAAATAAAGTTTCAAAACAATTCTTTTTTTTAGATATGATCAAATTCTAATTTGAATTACAGCCATTCTGATATTGCTTTAAAAAAAACAAAAAACATTGTAATTATCTTGAAAATATAATCCATTGCCTTGTTTGTATTATAGTCCCACCCATAAACAAAATTTGAAATTGCAAATTATTAGTTTCAGTATGGTTAAAATGACTGAATATTTTTATAAACAAAAACTGCAAATAAATAGTGAAAAAAATTTGGATCTAACCATGTAGTTATTTTGATATTTACTCAACATGATTTAATAGTTGGTACGCAAATGTTACTCATTAAAATGGAACAATGGCGGTGAAGGAAACCGACCTTTTCACCTTGAAATAACAGTCATACTTTTTGTGTGAAAAATTTAAAGGTAACGTAACTATATCAATCCGTAGAGAATTGCATTTCTTTGAAAGTGGTGGAGAACTGTTTGTAGTTGTCAATAACGAGATCCAGACTACATCTTTCTACTCTTTATTGAGCAAAGAGTTCTTGCCAAACTATTTCTTGACAACGGATCTGACATTTTGCTTGCACGTTTTCTTGCTCTAACATCTTCTGTGTTGTGGGAGGCGGTGGGAATTATTTAACATAGAAAGTTTAGACCATGTTTGCTATATATTAAGTTAAACAACTCACACTTGTGTTCAGCTGCTATTTTGTTTCAACTCCAAATGTTGAGTTTACAGGCCTGGTTCAATATTTGATATCCAGTTTTAGACATTAAAAAATAAACTAAAATAATTATCTACATTTGTTCATTTTCATCAGTTTTATTCAGTACAAACAAAAAATAGAAATTTTATGAAATGATGTTTAACAGCAGCCATTGTTAAGATTGAAATGTAATTGTGTGGACAAGAAGGGCAGTTTCTGGAATCACTCATATAAATTAGATGATTTTTTTTATCTGAAATGCTATATTTTTCAAAAATGTGTAACTTGCCGCATTAGAATGTTAATAATAACCGCACATTGGTGTTTATTACTCATTGTATGTTTATATAGGATAGGTAGATGTTAAACTTGTACCAGTTGATGTAATAAGATGTGGAGGAATAGTTGATATAAAAAGATTGCATATGGCTACCATATGATGATGTATTGTCCCTCCCTGTATTATGAAAAGCCCAAGCCATGATAGAAACCATGTGTATTATATTTGCTCAGCGGAATGGGGGATATAATTTCAATTTTTTGTCAGTAGGGGAGAATTCTTTTCCACAAGTTAAGCTTATTGACATGTGTTGGACTATGTTTTGGAAATGTTAAATACACATTGCATTTTACATATGGTAACCATATGAAATAAGCTGTTGGGAGGGATGGAAGAAGAAAGGATTATTGCAAGAAGCAAATAAAAATGTCGATTTGAATTTTTTTGAGGGAACAGATAATTTATAAACTAATGACGAGATATTACATAATAAAAACATGATCGAAAAATATATCACACATCCACAAAATTTCTATTTGTTTTTGTCATAAGAAATATAATATTATCCTTTTGTAGAACATATGGTTTTGATATTTATGCAAGGCAAAAGTTTTCATCAAACAACAACCCTTTGTTTTATGATATATAGATAATTGACATTAAATAATGTTTTTTAAGTAATAAAATGGTAATTATGTTTTCAGGGTATGATAAATAGTAATGTACCTATGTCACCAGAATCCTTGCCGACCACAGGTAAGAGTACATAATATGATACACTGATTAAAATCATAAGTTTAACATTTCTTTACAAATCTGCATCAACATATTAAAATCTATTGTAGGAAGCATACTACTCTCTTAGAAGAAAATGTAATATTTCGTTGGCATTTTACAAATTTTTATTGACTGGGTTTTTAAAGGGAAAAAAAGGATATTGTAGAAATGAAAAAAATAAAAGCAGTAATGATATTTGATTTGAAGCTAAAACTAATGAGATTTAATGTGAAATGCGATCTGTGTTTTACCATAATTCATCTTCTGCTGTCAATGTACTTTACAGTTTTTAATGCAGGAGCCAAATTAATTCTACATTACAAGTCAGAATTTGACTAGTGTTATAAATCATAAACGAACACTTTAGATTTCTCTGATAATGTATTAATGTGATAGATGCTGTTGACATTTAAAGTAATTATGAATCTTTTTTTTTTTTTAAAGAAATTTTACTTTGTAAGTGTATTATTTTTGCTGATAATTATTAATTATTCAAATTTTAGGAAGTCGAGGTGGTGGGAAGTATACTCCCCCAGAAGCTGGTGGGGGGCGACGGAAAGTGGGACCGGTAAGTCTAGGCAGAAAACTATTTTCTTATTTCTTGAATATTAAATCTGGCATCATCAGTTTTTAATATTTTCTCAATATTTAGTCTTCACTATCTAGTAGCTACTTTAGAAATGAAGACAAATTGTAACACAACAGAAAAAAAAACCAGCCTCAAATTCTGTGCTGTTACTATTTGAGAAAATATATATTATTAAATATAATTTTGAGTAAGCTTGTACATGTGATAATTAGGACTAATTGCTAGGAATTACCCACACCTTAGATACATAATAAATTTGAAATTGGATTGTTCAGAATTTGAAATTTTATGTATTAAAACGTGTTATATTAAATACATGGTAAATAAAAATTGTATGTTTCAGAATGATTAACAAGTTATAATATATAAACAAGTATAACACGTAGAAATCTATACATTAACAATATTCAACTAAGATATTGATTAAAAGAGGAGAGAGATCCAACTCTTTTTAACAAATAAAAACTAGCTGTATTTGGTGTAATAAAATAACATAATTTTATCTATGATGAATATTGGACTATGGTATCGATCAATATTGTTAAAGTGATCCAGTTAGATTTGTATCACCTGTTGAGGCCTATTGTTCACTGTAATAGTAGCACAACAGCTGTCAGCTTCCACCGCCATTGTCATGGCCGCCTAGAATAACTAATCACCCATAAAGTCAATCGAATAGAGAGAATTTTGTGAATTCATTATTGGAAAAAGAGAAAATGTTATTATAAATATAAAATAAAGGCGTGTGTAAGGAAAGCATAAGATATCTATGAAAGTAAACAGTTATTGATGTATCCGACATTAAGGCGTAAAAATAAAACCCAAGTTTCATAACCTAGAAATGGTTTATATTACCAATGTCAAATAAAGTTATTCCACAAATTTGAAAAGAAGAAACTGATGAAGTTATACTAAGATATTTATTTGGCAAAAGTAAATGAAAATATTTTGCTATTTAGTATGTAACGTATTAATTTTGAGATTGTGGCAACAGGCAAGGTAGCAATCTATTTTCTTTTAGAATACTTAATAAATATTTTCAAATAGTTGAATGTCTTTAGGAACATAAACCTGAGTCAATTTAATCTTGGAAGTTTTAATAGGTAATAGGTGTTTCTTGGCTCTAATATTGTCTTATTACAGAGTGGTTGCTTTAAATTTACCAATAGTTACAATGGTTATTTATTCCAGTACATAATTCAAATTTCAACCTTTCACTCTCTCATTTGGTTTCTCTAATTCATCCCAAATGCTTCACTCTAGAAATTAGATTTACATGTAAATTGTGGAAAGTTGTTCTAAATTAATCTGTTTTGGCAGGAAAACTAATATTTTATGAGAATAATGTTATCAGTAATTATTTAAATTTACCCAAGAGAATAGTGTTAAGTTCATGCTTTGTACTTTAATAGATCTGACTGATAGACAAAAATTAGTTGCTGACGACTTATCTACAAGCCATATATTTATATTCATGTCCGAGAAATTATTACAGGAAAACCCCTATCTGTATTTTTATTTCTATGGTTATTGAATTTTGAACAAAGTGGATTTATTATAACTGGTATAAGAGAGCCTAGTTGACGGTATAATTATATTGTATTGATTATTTCAACTAATAAACGAGCTACAGCTATACTTACAGTCTGTCAATAAACAACCTCCATGTTATATATATGCCACATACAATTATATTTAATATTCATGCCTCAACTCAATTCATATTGAGAAAGTGAACATTTCCTCGACTTTACAATTTGAATATATTATTGACGACTTGAGACAAGAATATTGGTGAATATACGGTATCTAGATCATTGAACGTGAGTGTGATTTAAAGGCAGTGTAATGATAGGTCAAGCTAGTTACCAGGATAAAATGAAAGTTGGAGATTTTGTTGAACTTACACCAGTACAGGTATATGACTAAATATTCTACTTTTTAAATGGGTTTTTGTTGAAACAACTAATTAAAGATCTTTTAAACTGAATAAATATCATACTGTCTACCTGTATGTAAAGTTGCAATTTCTGGCTTCTTTATTGAAAGTGAATTGAAGTTATGAAGCATTTAGTATGACATTACTGAAGACATGGAAAAATTAAAACACAGTGTTTTAAGTTCAGATTTATATAGTAGTCAGCATTTACTTCTGATGTAAATTCAAAAAATATGAGTATAATATCCCAACATTTAAATAAGTTTTGAACAAGTAAGATGGGATATTTCCGCACATCAACCTTATGACATGACAGTCAAGAGCTTGGATTCTATAGTAAACTGTAATGGTTATAATCCATATGTGTATATATGTGTATAAACCAGTGATTGTATTCCATATAAATTGTGTTGTGTTTTGTAATGGTTATAGTAGTTCATACAGTACTTACTGTGATGTGCCTGGTTTTGGTAGTACCATACAGCCAGAAAGATAGTTAACAACACACTTGCGTTATTGCATTTTGTAGTGTGTTTAGTAGTTGAATGCGAAGAACAGAAGGGACTGTTGGTGTAGTAGAGTTATTAGGTAGATAGATAATAAATCTAATTGTTCACACCTGTATCTTAATACACAGCTGGTCATTTGTTACTATACGTACATATACTAAATAATTACACATTCTGTTACACTTTTCATTCATACTTACTATAATATACAGTTCAATACAGGTGTGTTACACTATTACCTGTATTTCATACTGAAAAAAACAGAGTATTTTTGTTGGTACCATCTGCAAACAGAACTAAAATAGTTTACAATTCCTTGAACGGCAAACATACATGTGTAACAGAAACCATATTCATGATGTGCAAACAAATTAAAATTTAAAATATAGACCATAATAAAAAAAGCCTAGATCTATCAGTACACATAATAACTATTTTAAAATCAATGCCTCAAAATGAAATCACTTTCTTTGTATGACTAACATTCAATTTTATATTTGATTCTTGAAGAAATGATTGTTCCATTACTCAATCTTGCATCAGGTTGAAATTTAATTACTTATTTTATCCACATGTTTTTCTGGTGTTTTTGTTATTCTTTCTTGTATCTTTGAGTATATCCAGATTTATTTACATGTTTGTGATAGTTCTGTCAAAAAATAGCATCATGCATTCCAAATAACTGTCAGTGTTTTGTGTTGTGAATTTTGGTAGTAATATTGAGTTTCTATAGGTAAGGGTAAAGTAGACAGTGTAGATATAGAAATAACAATATCTATTCAAGTATACTAGGAATACCTACCTGTAAGTACATCATAATATACATGTATGTAGGTAGATGAAGCTGTAACAAAGAGAAACTTTTGTTTATTTAGATAGAACTTGGTGAAAGTTTGAACCTCTTGAATCACAGGAAAGTAGCACTAGTTACCATGGAAACATAAGGAGTAGCGGCTTAGAAGTGACAATCTTATTTTCTTCACTGATTTTGATGCAAGAAAGAATTTTATTCTAAAGGGTTTATATTTTATAATATGGGGTTATTATATTTAGTAGTATACATGTGTACTAGAAAATTATTGAAATAGTCTGCTAACATTTTCTAATATTAAAAGAAACTTTCATTTCTTTACTAAGTAAATATTTTGTGAAAAATCAAGAATGCTTCAGAATATATATATAATACACCACACCTTCTTTAAATACATGAAAGACAAAAAGATACATTATATCTTATAGTAAATAAAAACAAATTTTCAAGATATGTATTTTACTCCCTAACCTTGTTTAAGATAATAGGTTAAAAGTATATATGAAAAGAGTTGAGTTAAAACAGACAATTATTACACAAGTTGTAAAGAAAAGATAAAAGACATGCCTGGTTGGTGCTCATAAGTTAATTGCCAGCCCTCTCCTAACATTAGGCTCATAAAGCAGAGTTTAGTGGAACCTGGGTTAGGGGCGCTGGGTACTGAGGGGGATATGCCAGCAACACGATATAACATCAAAGATACTGTTTGTTTACCTATAGGTAAATTATATGTTATCATAGAAAGATTATCCCCAAGTGGTCAACTCTAGCATGCTATTTAAATAGCAGTTGTTTTACATCAGTACTCTATATCTTATTCACATTCTACACCCACAGATAAGATAAATAAAACTTTAAACTAACAATAAACCAATCATTCCATTAAATAAACTCTTAACATCCTTTTTAAATCTCCTCAAAAATTTGCTGTGATCACATATGCGAACAATTATTTTACTCAATACAGTTGTGATTCATTATTTTAGAGTTTTCTTGGCTTCAATTTGTTCAACAATTTTCATGTTATATTTCAGTCATTTTAGATGTGTTTTGTTTTGGCTGCAACGTGATAACTTCCTGGAAACATATTATGATAATACCTGTAGTTCCAAAAATTGTTATATATTTTTATAAATGATTCATAGATAGAGTGGCCCACAGCAGCAGCCTCAAATATTTGTACTATATAAACTGACCTGTTTTAACAGCATGTTGTCACTCAGGTCAAAACAGCATTTATGAGTAAAGTTCAGTCATAGGTTTGCTTGTGCACTGCAGGCAGCAAACATTCGCCCAAAATAGACATTCACGTGACAATATTCATTCACTTATTTGTCAATGAAGCCATGAAAAAATATTCTTCTTTACTCGTTACTCTTTTAAAAATATGTAGTTACGAACTTGATTAAAACTTTGGCTAAAACTCAGTGATTTTATTTCTTTGATTGTAACCAGTGACGTATGCATTGTAACGGTTGTCGGTTCAGAGTCACCTTATGTAGTTTCGTTCTTTTTCTTTTTAACTCACTCCAGCGGCAATTAACTGACACCGAAAGAGTGTGAAATTTACTTTTATTCAATTGCAAAACACTGGTTATTTGCCGCCTTGGTGAGTTAAGAAGTTGCGTTGTTGCTAGCTCTAAATATGCAGACTGGAAAAATAACCAAACCAAATTTGTAGTCTTTATTTTCTAGACTACATCATACTGCACAATATATT